AACTATGAACCAGGGAGCCTCTTTGCTCTATAAAGTACCCAGCCACAGACATTTCATTATAGCAATGGAAAAGTCAGGAATACACATGGCTCAGTGTCACATGGCTACTGCCATGACAATCAGGACTTCAGCCAGTGGGACAAGGGAAGACACAGAAGCTTTGGACCTGAGAATGACAGCTCACCTCAGTGCACTGAGCCCTGGAGAGGGCATGTGGGGTGACCCCTCTGCTGGTAACAGAGTACACCTAAGAGGCATTTAGGAAACCAACCAAGGGTCATTTAGGAAATCAACAGGGCAAAGTGCCCTGCAGCCTCGGGTTTCCACTGTGGGTGCCAGGTCCGGAAAGCAGGCAAGGCCCTGATGACCATAGCGCCATCTGGTCTCACAACCAACTCCATGGCTCCCGCTGTCCCCATTTCTGTGACCACAGCCTCTTTAATCTGATTCCCTGAAGCCCCTCCCTCATCTAGAGCTGTCTGTGGCCCCATAAATGACCTGTGCCCCCATCCCAATGCCCTCTGGGTCTGTGGTGAGCCCAGGGTAACCATTCCCCAGACGAACTGTCCGTGTCTTAACCCAGGAATCTATGTATCCAACATCCCGTGGCGAGAGTGGCTGTCACTTAGAAGACTACAGGTGTGGTGCAGTTAGAGATTCTGAGAGGACCTTACCCTGCGTCATCTGATAGGCCCTAAGCCCACTGACAAGGTTCCTCACAGGGACGCTGAGGGAGAGACAGACATAAGGATGGCAGGAAGAAGGGGCCGCAAGCCAAGGACAAGGAGACACCAGAGAGCTGGAAAGCAGAGTGAAGAGCCTCCAGGGCCTTGGCCCTCTGGCCTCCACCAGGGGACGAGAATTCCTTCCTGTTGTTTCCATTTCTAGGAAGCCAACAGGCTGCCCAGTCTGGAGTGTGTTCCTTTCTGCACAGTCCCTGGGCACCCTCCCTCCTGCCTGGGGGCCGCTGCTCTGCCACACGCTCACACTTTGCAGTCCTTCAACCACAAGATCCTTGTGGGCAGCACAGTAAGATCAACAGAGGAAGGAAACTACAGAAAGTCCCAAGGACAAGCCATAGGGCAGCGAGGCGAGGCCAGGCCAGGCCAAGTGGTGAGTGCTCCCGTCTGTCTCTGGGCAGCATGGTTCTTCTCAGAGCTGGAGGGACAGGGAGGGGGCCCCTCCTGCGCCTTCTGTGCAGGACTCTGATGATGTGTGTGGGTTCTGTACATCCCCTGGGCAGCAGTGGGGGCAGAAGCAGTCCCTTTCACGGTCACAGACTGGACTGTGAAGGTCTCTTATAGGGTGCAAGGAGCCAGGGTCACAGGGACACACTCAGTCAGTGCCCAGCAGATTCCTACCTACCAGTCCGTTGTCACCTTGCCAGCAGTACAACCACATGTCAGAGCAGCTTCCTGGCTCACCTGGTTGGTGGCAAGGGCCAGGCTGAGTCCCCAGCCCTATCTATCCTGGTTCCAAATCCCAGAACCGACAGGAGGCCTGGTCCTCCTGCAGCGCCCAGGCAGGTTCCTACACTGGTCCCTGGGCTCGGGATATTACAGGATTCCCCAGCGATGCCCAAGGACTCTGACCCTGAGTTAGAGCTCTAGGGCACCTCCTCTCTGCCCGAGCCGGGCTTGGAGTGGGCTCAGGTGCCGGGCACCCCGCACCTCCCTCCCGTGCTGGCCTTCTCCGCACCCGCGCCTGACTTTATGCGGAGGGCTGCGCAACGGAACCCTAATCTGTACCCTTCTTCTTCCAGGTCCGGTGCTGGGTGGTGGGAGATTCGCAGCCAGGTACACCTGGGAAGAGGCACCCGCAGTGGGGGGGGGGGCTGCCTTTCCACCTCCCTAGGCGACCCTGGGCCCTCCAGCGCCACCCCAGCTTCCCGCTCCAGGGAAACCCGCCCCTCCTTCCCCGACGGGTGTCCCCTCATACAGCGCCGCGTCCTTTTTCTTTCCAGCCTCTCACTAAGCAGCCTAGACTCTGCCTTCGCCACGGCACTCCGACGCCCCGCTCCCCGGTCCTTCAGGACTCCAGGTCGGCGCGGCTGCAGCTCGGCAGCAATCCCACCTTCCACCGCCTTGGGGTGTCGCGCCCGTCCCTAGCTTCTTCAGCCCCTTTCGGGTCCCTCACCGGCCAGACCCCCTCCCCAGGGGCGTCACCGCCCCGCCCGGCGCTTTTTACTGGGGCGCAAAAGGGTCCCCGAGAGACCCCCGGCCCAGCCCGCGCTCCTTTGTGCGGCAGGCGGGCTCTGCGTCAAGGCGAAGGCACACCATCCCTGTACGCGCAGGCCGGCGGCGGCGGGGCGGAGGCTACGCGCGGAGGAGGCGGAGGCGGAGGCAGCGCGGATTGCGAGCTGCGCCCCCGCCCGGCCTGCGCCGCCTCCGCCATTGCTGCGCGCGGGAGCGGCCGACGCGGAGCGAAGAGCGAGGCTAGAGCGCTCGGAGCCCAGACCTGCGGAGCGCGCGCTGGGTGAGTGCGGCTAAGCTTGGACCCCGCCGCGGGCTGGGGCCGGGGCCGCTGCGGTCTTGCATCGTTCGCGAGCGCGGGCTCCAGCACAAGGGACGCTTTTGGAGGAGCCGGGCAGGGGCGGCACCCCCTTCCCCTCTGCGCTGTGCGAGGCGCCGGGGCTTCGTCTCGCTAGCTGGGTCCATAATATGCACAGCCCCAGAACAGGACGTGCCCGCGCGTCCTCGCGACCCCTCCCCTGTACCCCCCGCGTCCACTGCGCCCCACCCAGGCCCTGGCTCGCCGTGACCTCGGCGCCACCCTCCCTCCGCAGGCAGCAGCCTCGGGTCCCCAGGAACCATGGTGAAGTTGGGGAACAATTTCGCGGAGAAGGGCACCAAGCAGCCGCTGCTGGAGGATGGCTTCGACACCATTCCCCTGATGACTCCCCTCGATGTCAATCAGCTGCAGTTCCCGCCCCCAGACAAGGTGAGCCCCCCACATCAGCGCCCCGCACGCTGCCGGGATGCGCACCCCTCTGTCTCCCGTGGCTGCAACAAAAGAATCGCCCTGTGCACTGAGGACGCCAACTGGGGGCGGCTCCGGCTGGCGGAGGGATGCCGGGCGAGGATGCCCTATCCGCGCGCGCTTGTGGACCCAGTGATATTGAGGGGGGGGTGTCCCCTGTCTTGGGTGTCGGCTCTTTCCGGACCACGGTGCCTTCTTAATTTTTATGGGAGTCATGTCGAGGGGGAGTCATCCCGGTCCCCTAGCTGCCTTGCACTTCCCTTGCCCCATGGCACCTGCAGGGGTTTGGGGGCGCCGCTGCCCCTGTGCTTCCGGAGTGGTCCGGTTTCGCTCTGATCGACCTGCTGAGGTAGGGGCTGGGGCTGGTTCCCTTCCTGGGGTCGGCTCCCCTCCTGGTCCCTTCTACCCAGCCCTGGCAGGCTGGCCTGGGCACTGTGTGGAGGGTGGGCGCTAACCAGGGCCCCCCTTCGCCTTCCTCTTTGTTCCTCGGTGCCGCCTCCAAAGGAGAGCCAGGCTCACTCAGGATTAGCGTGACCCGGAACAACTGCCCCTCACTCAGCCTGTGCATGGAGCATTTCTGCTCAATTGAAAGAATGCTCTCTTTGGGGGAACATGGCATCCAGTCGTTACCGTTACAGTAAGACCATCTTCTAGAGATAACAACGTTAACAGGACCTTTAAAAGTCTTGTCAACTGTATTGCAAAATTTGCCTAAAATCGGCGGCAGGGCTTGCTCCCCCCTCCCCCTTTGCCAAAGTCCTTTACGTTTATAGTCTCATCTGGTCCCTGGTGGAAAGGCTCTGACTCAGGGCTTTGCCCTGCCGCCTGCAGGGGTGTGTGGCAGTATCCCTGTGGCTCGTCCTCCTGGAGGCTTTTTTGTTCCTGTGAAGTCCCCAGAGGTCATTCGGTTCCCCAGGGAGCTTTTGTCCCCTGACTATTGTGTGTGATTTGGGGGTGGGGGCGGGCAGCAGGTGTTCCACTAGGAAAAGGGGACCAGCTGGTCGAGCCAGTGCCCCCAGAGGGCCATTCTAGGCCCCGAGAAACCAGGTCGGGCTTTGCTGGGCGCCTCACCCGAGGCTTCTGGTTACGCTCCACCATCCTGCATGGGTAGCCTGGCCAGGGCCCCCACTTCCCCTTCAGTCTGAACCCCAGCTGGTCAACTGAGGAGCCATGAGGTTGGTGCCCAGAGCACTGTGTCCCCAAGTGGCACTTCTGTCAGGTGACTACTTCTGCTGGGCTGGAGCCTCATCTTCATTCTAGTCTGTTCCATTCCAGTGCCGCCTGGCACAGTTGGCTTGTTCCAGGCAGGTGCGGAATTCTGGGCAGCCAGGCCAGGTGCTCAGGTTGTTGGCCTGGGAGGCTCCAGAGGCACCAGGCCTGTCAGCCCTGGGAATGTTCAAGCTGGGGCTGCCTGGTGGGCAGGTGGGCAGGAGCTGATGGGTGGGCTAGCAATCTGCAGAGGTCACAGACGAGACTGAGGCTCAGAGGGTTTCAGGCTGTGCCCAAGGTCACCGTGCTGAAGATTATGGCTGTCCAGGAGGAAGCAGTGTCTGCAGGGCCTCTCACCCCACGTGGGTTGTAGGGGACCCCTCACCCTTGACTTCTCAAGCAGGATCAGGAGGCCATTCGCCTGCCCCAGGTGCTGTGGCTTCTGAGGGCTGGTGTGCACACCTGGGGAGGATGGAGTGCAGGGCCATCGTCACTGGGCCAGTAGCAGTGGCAGGGACTGTCCTGGGTCCTGTGTAGTGGGTGCCCCTTCTGCCACTTCACAGGCTAAGGCTGAGCCCTTAGCGTGGAAGCACCGAGGGACCTCTGTCAGGGCGGCCCCACGTACAGGTGTGGAGGAAGGCCCGAGCGCTCAAAGGACCTGCGCAAGGCCGCTAACCTGTCACTGGCAGGTGCAGATTGAGTCCAGGTGAGACTGTTGCTGGGGTTCCCTTGCTGGGCTGGGGCTCCACAGATGTCTTCCCTGCAGTCCCTGACGAGATGAGCTGTGCTGTCCACGTACACCATGGCGTGCCCAAGGCCACACGGCTAGAGGGGTGCATTGGGATTTGAGGACGGCGGGTGACACCCAGCTGCCAGTCCTGCCTGCCAGGGGTGTGTAAAGGAGCGACAGGGCAAGGATGTGTGGCACAGTGCTTGGTTCTTGGCAGTACATACTGGCTCAGGCCACTTCCCCCCGCCTTCTTCCCTGGACTGACTGCAGGGCTCACAGCTCATCCTGCAGGGACGGCCATCTGGGGTGCTGGATTTTCCGTTCTGCTGTTGGTCCCACTGTAGTGGACAGTGGGACCCTCTTTGCCCTTTGTCTTCCTAAAACTATGGGCCCGCTGGTGAAGGGACAGGTCCACCCCAGACGATAGGCATGTGGCAGCTGGTTCTCTGATGGGCACTGCTCTGGCAATAAGAGATGTGGGACTCCCTCATCCCCACCCAAGAAACTCCTCCTCCATTTGAGGATGGAGAAGCCCACAGTCTCTGGCCAAAGGGTGTGATGCAGGCAGAGTGTGAGAAGCCGGGACCGTGGGCGGCAGGGTCAGCTCCCATGGAAAACCCCTCCTACGTCATAGCAGAGCAAGGAGGGGGTGAAAGCCAGGAGACCCCGGGGCATGGGAGGGCAGAGAGGCTGCGGGTGGAAACAGAACCCACTGCAGCCGCACCTGCAGGCCCTGAACAGCGCACTCTGTCTGTTGTCCACAGCGGCAGGTGGCACATAAGTGCCTATGCAAAAGACTACATACCCTGGGCAAGGCTGGCATTCTGCTGGCTGGAGAGAGCACTGGCCTAAGAGTTGGAGGTTGTACAGCCCCAGCCTGTCATTTATTAGCTGTTTGACCTTGGCCAGCAAGCTGACCCTCTGCCCTGTGTTGTACGGGTTCCGCTGGGGGCTGTGCTCTGGGTTCTGAATGGGTAATTGCCCTGCAGGTGCTGGCATGGGGAGGTTCTGGTGAGGGGTGGCTGAGCTGTTTGGGAATTGCTTCCTGGAGATGGTGTCTTTGGATAGGATCGCTCCCGGCCTGCCCACTGAGGCAGATGTGTCTGGGCCCACGGGGATCCCCACTGATGAGTGTTTCTCTGTCACTGACAAGGTGGTCGTGAAGACAAAGACTGAATATGAGCCCGAGCGCAAGAAGGGCAAAGGACGCCCTCCCAAGATAGCCGAGTTCACCGTCAGCATCACAGAGGGCGTCACCGAGAGGTTCAAGGTGAGTGACCCCAGGCGGGAGCAAGGCAAGCGAGTACAGAGGGGACTCCCGGTGCAGGAGGAGGAGGAGGGGGTGCTGCTATGGGAGTGGCTCCCCGAGGTGCAGGCTGTGGCTCTGGCTACCCGCCCAGATGTTATCCTCCTAGTCTGTCAAACTTTTTTTCCTCGTCTTCATCTCCCAGGAGGATCGCGGATCACTTATTTTTATAATAGGGCCAACCCACTCATGAACGTTCTTGTAGACAAAGTTATAATAAACACACAGAAAAGTCTCTTACCAAACATTGAAGCGTTTGCCTAACAGCTCCAGGCAGGAAGCAGACACTGGCACAAGATCGGCTCACAGTGCTTACTGCGTGCCAGCCTGGCCCATGCCCCTGGGTGGTGTGAGCTCGTGGACATGGGCCCAGGGCAGCCACACTGGTGTGGCAGGGCCAGGACCCTACGGCTGCCCCCTTGCCCTCCTGCCCAAGCTTGGGGCCACTGCGGAACCGCTCTGGGGAATAGGAGAGAAGGAAGGTGGCTTTTGGCCAGACACACGGGGGCTCAGGAGTTAAGGTCCTCTGGCCCCGAGGCCCCTGGCTGATGCCTGTCACCCACTCAGATACTTGTGCCCCCTGCTGTCATCAGGGACAATGCACCCCCTTCTTGTACAGCCTGGAGCACCTTCGTGTAGTCGCTCGTTTCATTTCCCAGACGATCTTCTCAGTTCCAGCAGGGAAGCCAGAGGGACTTCACAGAGTGACTGGGGACATGGGGGCTGAAACAACCTTCAAGTCTGCCCTGCCTGTCTCCCCACACTGCCCCTTAGTCTGCCCTGCTCTCTTTCACATCCCTGGAGGTTTATTCGTGGTGGTCCATGTCATCCTCCCTGGGTGGAGCCAGCCCCAGCCCACTGCCTCCTGATGTGGAGCAGGTACTGTGTGAATGCCCATTCCACAGACGGGGACACGGAACACAGTGTGTGCGTCTGCCCTCCCTCTTGTGTCAGGGCATTGTGTGCGCTCAAATGCGCCTTTGGTGCCTGCAGATCAGCAGCTCATACGTGTGAGGCTCGTGGCCAGGCTGAGGTGCACTGACCCAAGGGCAGCACCTGTTGTCCCCTGCTCTGGGCTTCCTCTGCTCCCACGGGCACCTTGGGGGCAGCTGCTGATCCCAGGTTGGAGCGGGAGTAATTGAAGCCTGGGTCACAGTGTCAGGATGTCTGAGTATGTCTGGGCTTTTTGCCCCCGATTTGTTCTGTGCCTCCCAGCCCTGTCACTTTAGGTCCCTGCAGAGCAGGGAGCAGAGTGGTGCCTGAGTGGCTCCTGCATCTGTTGAGTGGTGTTCTTAGCCTGTGCTTTTCCCATGAGGTCATCTGTAACAGGCCCCCGGGTACCTTGCCCCAGGCCTGGGTGACGTACGTGTGCCACCAGGGCTCTGTGTTACCAGGGCTGGGACCCAGTGTGATGCCTTGGGCCCTGTTGCCCAGAGCCTGAGGCCCGGAAGCCCTCGGATGATCCGTGCCTGCGTCCGGGGACTGGCTGCTGAGGCGGGAGCCCTGCGCCTTCTCGCTGCCACCTCGGGACTGCTGAGGGCACACGCCTGCCGGCGTTCAGTGCTTAGCTTCTGTTGTCCTTTACATTCATATCTGCTCCCCAGGCTGTGGAGTCTCTGGTGGTCACAAGGTGGCCCTGATTCCCTGTGACGCTGTGACTCCAAGGGCAGTGCTATCAGTGAGACCTAGTCTCAAAAAAAAAAAAAAAAAAAAAAGTGCTGGAGTGGTAGAACCCATCCATAATCCTAGCACTGAGGCGGCTGAGGCAGAAGGATCGCAGAGAGTTTGAGGCCAGCCTGGGCTCCACAGCGAGAGCAAGTCCAGCCAAAAAATCAAAACAATGAAAGGAAAAAGCCAAATAGCTAACGCCAGCGTCTTCCCTTGCTGCCTACCCCAGGCCCAGGCTCCAGCTCCGGGAGGACACTTGCCAGCCCTAGTCCAGAGCCACACCATGCTGAAGTCCAGGGGCCTCTCAGTGAGCCTGGCCCCCACGCTGTGTCCCCCAGCCCGACTGGCTTCTAGTTCCTTATCTCATTCAGCTTTATAAATGCTGTCCAAGGTGGGCACCAGAATCATCAGCATTTCAAAGCTGAGGGAAACTGAGGTACAGCACAAGCTCCCAAGGCAGCCTGCTCTGCCTTCACCCGACTTAGCAGGGAGCCTAAGCCTGAGGTGACCCACGGAGCCTGGCAACTGTTTCTGCACAGGCCTTGCTTGGTGGGGTCAGACTCTGCCGTGGAGCCGCGTTGCGGGGCTCACAGAGCTGGGCTCCTGGAGTCTTGGGTCTGCACAGGCTCAGGCCCGTGAGGACACCCCATGCCAGCACCCTTTACCTTTGTCCCACCTCTCCCCCTCTCTAGAGGGTCCCCTCTCTAGGGAGCTGGAAGACCCTCGGGGAATTGTAGGTGGCTGTGATAAGCAATTCAAAATGTAAAGAAGTCAGGAGTGATGGTGCGTGCCCGAAATCCCAACGCTTGCGGATATGTGCGGGAAACCTTGTGGCCGTGGTGCAGAGGGCAGGCCTGGTGAGCCGAGGTCCCTCAACCCGGGTTGGTGACCTTGTGAAGGGAAGCAGGCCGTAGCAATGCCCGGGGCAGGAACCTTGGCTGAAGAGTGCGGACAGAACTGACTCGCGGGCAGCCGCACGGCAGCAGGGCAGCCTCTGGGTACCATCTCCCTGGCGTCTAACACGAGGGCTTAGTGAGTACATGCATGAGTAATCGTGCTACCAGCTCCGTGAAGCGTGAAGGGCACTCAGTGAAGTTTTCGGGGTGGCCTTGTAGGCCCCTTGCTTGTGCTGTAGTCTCAGCATCAGTCACTGAGGCTGTTCTCCGACAGGGATGGGTGCAAGTCCTCCACTGAGGACCCTCCTGCCAGGCCGCCCAGTCAGAGTGCGTAAGAGACACGATCAGAACCTGGCACCCCTGTTGTGGGCTCCCGGGGACACCGTGGTGGCCCCTAGCAGCCAAGAGATCTAAGGGCCACCCCAAAGCCAGCCGCCTGGGAATGTGTATTTGAACCTGCTCTCCAGGAAGTTTCGGTGTCTGCTCTATCCTGACCCTTGCTGGGGGGGGGGGGTCTGGCCTGCTGGAACCCCTTGGGAGTGCGGAGCACATGCCCTTCCAGAATGCTCCGCAGCCTCTCACAGCACAGTGGCACCTGTGAGGCCCCTGCGGGTGCACACAGCCTGGCATGTGGCCGTTGTGTGGAGCCTGGTTTCTGGACACGGGGCTGAGTGGGCACGTGGACCGGAGGTCAGGACTGGGGTGGATGCCCTCCCAACCAGCTCGTCATGGCCAGGGGACACCTTCCGGCCCTCTTGGCCACAGAGCAACTTGTCACCCGAGTGTGAGGCCTCGAGGAGGAGATCCTGCCTTTGAGATACAGAAGCAACAAGTAAGCCCTGTGTCCCTTTGTCTCTATGTGCGTCGGCAGGCCTGCTGCGGCTGCGTGCGCCTTTGGATGGCATCCTTGAAACGTCGTTTTGGATGTTACTTTATGATCATCACTCAGTGATTAATCTCTCAGCTGTGAGGTTGCTAGGCTTGTTGCTAGGTAACCACTGCTGGGGAAAGGGCTTTGTAAGACTGCCACACAGGGATGGCAGGATGAATCACCCGTGGCGGCCAAAAGTCTAGGCTTCCGAGGAGGCTGGTGTCACCCAGAGAGGCAGGCGTTCAATTAATCCGTGGTGTATCTGTGCCGAGAAGAATTGTGCCTGAGATGTTCCCCAAGTGGGTCTGACTGCAGCAGTTTTAAAATTGTGTCCCCACCTCCTGCCCCCTGTCATTCAGAGCAGCATGACTAGGGCTGCCAGGCCCCTCCGAAGATCCATCAGGGGCTGTGAGGTGAGCAGCAGCTGACTCTTCGCTGCTCCCATGCCAGGAGCGAAGGGCTTGGTGGCCTCCCACTCCTCACCTCTGCCATGTCATCCCCAGGCCCTTGGGAGGTGCTGAGGTTGGCCTGTCACAGGAGCACCCTTCAGGGTCGGCTTGGCTGGGAGACACCTTAGGAGAGACGCACTGGCCTGGCACTCAGGGCTGGGGGAGGGGGAGTCACTAGATGTCCCTTCCCAGATCACCTCGTGGGTGGCTGGTATCTTTCTCTCGCATCCTTAATGACCTTGAGCTTCCCGTGTGCCTGTTTCTCATCCCCTGGAGTGGCCCAAGGTGTTCGTGTTCTCTGTTCACCTGCTGTGATACTGTCTCCTCGGCAGTGTGTCTCGGATCTTCCTGGGTGGGGGTCTTGCTGCAGACCCTAGACATGTGTTTGGACACCCGGTGACCTTGAGCCTCATTGTGCCTTTTGTGGGATTTGGCCTCCTGCACTCACAGTTGCAGAGCCTGTGGGCTGGGGTCCAGCTGCAGAGGGGGCCCCATCAGAGGAGATGTTGCGTGGGCTGTGTTGTGTCATCTCTGTGTGTGTGTGTGTGTGTGTGTGTGTGTGTGTGTGTTCGCTGCTGTGCGGATTACCTAAAATATGTGGTGCTGAGATGCTTGAGGATATCAGGATTCATCTTCTTTCTCCAGGTTTTTTTTTTTCTTTTCTTTGGCAATGCATTACTCAGCAGAAGCACTCACTTCCTCTCTGCTTCCCTCAAGGGAGAGAGGACAGAGACAGCTGAGTGGCAGCCACCCACTGTCAACCCAGCTGCTGCTCAGGCCTGGAGCATGGGGTCACTTCTTTCTGCCTTCCTCATAGTCTCTGAAAGGCTGACCTTGCTGTCCCGATTTGGTAGGTGGAGAACTGAAGCCAGAGGGTGGAGGGGTGAGGCCAAGGTCAGCCAGGGTGACGAGGGGTGGTGGCAGGAGACCCACGTCCATTTGACATGCAAGAGCCCAGGCGTTCTGTGGTCCACAGCAGAAGGACCGTGGGTGACAGCTGCTGCTGACATCCTGTGCTGCTGTCCCTCCGTCAGCTGGCTGGTGGCCCTGAGTCCCCCAGCTCCAGAGGTGGCCCTGTAC